CTGTGCCCGCACACGACTTGCTCCATCCTCACCTTGCTCATGCCCACCCCTTCTTTCTAGCCTTCTCCCAGCACCTTCCTCCCCCTCCTCTCCCCTCCCAGCATCACCCTGTCCCCCCCTCCCACTGACATCTCCGCTCCTGCCCTTTTCCTCATTGTCTGCAGTTGGCCCCTTGGCATTTCTCGCTCTTCCACCCTGTCTCTTGGTGCCTTCCTCTTTCTTCCTCTTCCACCCCTCCCCCCTCCGCACAAGCCCCTTCCTCTCCCACCTCCTCCTCCCCCCTTCTGCCTTCCACTTTGTGGGGCCAGAGTCTGTGCTTGGGCCCCGGATTCTGAACCCAGAACTAGGCCACGCGGTGCCAAGGAATTTTAAAGTCCTGAGCCGTGACATCACATCATGCCTGGGCGTCCACCCTGCTCACCTGCAGGGGGAGCCGCACTGAGAGCTGCACACGGCAGGGAGGGATCCGGGGCCGAGGGGGACACTCTGGGGCAGGATGGGAGGACGCGCGGGGGGACCAGCAGGTGGGGGCCGGGGCCCGCTCCAGGCAGAGCCGGGGGAGAGACCCAGCTCCACATATTGCTGGAGCAGGGCCCCCAACTCTGAATATTAACTTGACGCCCCTCGCACCCGGTACACTTCTGGGATCAGGGCGCAGGGCCCCTTTAGGCGCGGGGCCCTATTCAGAGGAATCGAGCGAATTGGCCTAAGGCTGGCCCTGGCTGTGTATCCTGCTTTGGTCACATCTCTCAACTTTCATCACTCCCAGACAAAGTTTCTGCTAATCTTAACTATGGGCAGGTGAGGGCCTCCCCATATTTAGTGCTGTGGGAATCTAGGCAAGGAAAAGCCACAAACATGGGGAAACAGTTTCAAAGAAATATACCCTGATCGCAACTAGGTTCACTTTTTTTCCCTTTATTTACTCAATCTTCTTTGTTCAGTCTGCTTCCATGCCCCGAAAACCTTGGAGGCATGGTAGTCCTGCCTAAGTTTAAATCATTCTGGCTACATCTATACTGCTTCCTTCTTGCGCAAAAGCCTATGCAAATGAAGCACAGATTAGCATACTATTGCACTTCATTTGCATAATTAATTAGGGGCCACTTTTGTACAAAAAGGAGCTGTGTAGACAGCTTTTTTTTGCACAAAAACCCCCTCTTGTGCAAGAGCCATTCTTCCTGAAAAGAGGAGGAAGAACAGCTTATGCAAGAGGGGGGACTATTAAGATTTCATTTAGACATGCATTTCAAAGTATTTTCTATCTAGTAATTACTCACATAATCTTTGTCCATTTAGACAGACATTACTTTGTATGTGGAAATAGTATCTTAATTTCATTTTCCCCACAAGACAGAACAAACAGTGAACTTTAATCAAACTCAGATTAGACACCCATTACTAGACCTCACATGGGATGGATAATTTACTGCTCTTTGGGCAGTTGTTTCTTGGGTTTGTATAATTCAAACAAAGTTCTTAGCTATTATGGTGCTAAGTACTTTAGAAATGCTGATTAGCAAGCAGGATATTTTTATGGCCTAGATTATTCAGAAAACTGATATTTATATCAGCCTTGCAAAAGTATACTCTCACATGCCAGCGGCAAGTAATTTTTTTCCCCTACCAACATCTGGGTAAATGGTAGAAAAGCAGATCTTGTGTCTGACCATTTTGATGACACTTTTTTAAACCTGATTTACAATATAAGGAATATGTTCACATGTTCACTATTGTTAGCAGTTGAGAAATGAGAAATTATTTTGTTGGTACCGTTGAATTAGTTTAATTAGCAATGCCAGTCAAATTCCATAGGCCATCCGAAGGAACAGACGTTACAATCTTTTCAGTACATATCTGCTGTAATTAAGCCCTAAATTTATAAACAAGAACAATTAGCTGACACTTACACTCTTCAATAAATGAGCAGACACTCTTATTAGAATACAACAGCGACGTCTAAAATGAGCACACGATTTGTGAAAGGCCAAAGTCTTCCTTGAGATGCTAAAATAACATATTCCAGCACTCAAAGGGTTGCGGGGAAAGGCTTTGAGGATTGCTAGTCATAAGACAAAATAAAAATATACCCATTTCGGCCATCACTAGGGTCATTTAATATTGAAATACCCAAAATGTAACCACTTGAATTTTTCTTGTTTCATGAGGCATAAGGGATCAGTCGCCAAAGGCTTCCCCAGCCGATAGATCCACGTCTAGACTGCCGTGCTGTGCCAGATCAGCTGATCGTTGGCACTGCATGGCGGCCATGTTTATTTTAATGAAGCGGGAATTATTTAAATCCCCACTTCATTGACTATGCTGGGAAAACTAGTTTACATGGCTCCATCGATGGAGCCATGTAGTCTAGACATACCCTAAGCTCCCAGCAGTCCCAGTCTACTTATCTAAAGAAATATATACAATCTCATTCATGCAGGGACTCAAATACTAGCCACAATACCTTATACCAGAAAACAGTCTCAGACCCCAATATTTTTCAAATAAGAAAATGTATTATTTAAAAAGGCTCTTTTAAAAATCTTGAAGTGAGCATTCAAACTAAAAATGTTAAAGTTCAAGGAATAGCTCACAGGATGAAAAGTCAAATTATATAGATTCTATTATTGGTTCTGTTGCTAATTTGCAGTCATTTCTTTGCATCTCCATTTCCTAATTTGCAAAGTAAAGATAATAGTACCTTTAGGAGGTTTAATTATTTGTTTTACCCAAATAAAATATTGGTTTGATAAATGCAGAAGAAGAAGAATCCTGACAAAAGCAAAACTTGCTGAGAAAATTTATTTATTCTAACGCAGTTTTTACACTAACTACCTGGAGAGCCAGATCTGACAGCAAGATTCCTTCTATATATATTAAACAGGTAGGTTTTATATTTTCAGCAAACCTGAAAAATTCTCTCCAAAACTACAAAATAATTAAGAACATTCAATATTTAATCAACACAGATGTACCCTTTTATTTCATCATAAGATGTATCCACTTCAAAAATCTGGATTTAAGTGTAAACATGTTATTTTCCTGTTCATTTTCTTTTGTATCCACATTAGTGGCCTTTGTTTTTTCGATCAGGATCTCATAAGCTTTCTGCGCTCGAGCAATTTCTTTGTCTGCATTAAAATGAACCATTTGTCTGTTCAGAATAGGAACAATTAAATTGAAGTCATTAATTCTTTTGTTTAGTTTTTTGATATCTTCTATTAATTGTTCACAAATCTGATTCCATTGCTTCTGTCTAAATGCTGTCATTGGCTCTCCAAGGTTATTCCTAGATGCTACTATGTTCTTTCTTAGTTCTTCAATAGTTTCTCGTATTTCTTTCTGCATCAGAATCCATTCTGGTTGGTATCCATTATCTATAAGAATTCTGTTCAGGTTGTGAGTCATAGGATCAATATGCGGACAATATGAAAATTTCTGCAATGGTTTTCCTTTACCACTGAGGTTATCAAAGTCTCCTTTGGCCATTGATTCCTGGATGAGGTCCTCAACCAAACGCTCAATTGCTTGGGTTATTTTTATCTTCTTACTCTGCTTGACATCTTTGGCTATCATAGTGTTCATAGCATACTGGCTCTCAAATTTCTGCTTTCGATATTCCATCACCTGCTCAGCTGCACGGTCTACTCTAAACTGCATGTACTGTCTCTCTCTTTGACTGGGTGTCCCAAAACCAACACCTTCAAAACTTAAATACTGCCGGTGCTGTGGTGCTTTGGATTTAAATTTGGCTTCTTCCTCCTCTTCGCTTTCACTTGATTTCATTTTCTTGGCCACATCAGAAAGCACAGTTCTGTATGCTTCTTCTATCTGCATAAACATTGCAGAATCAGCTGTGACAGAACCACTGTCTGGATGATACTGTTTGGCAAGATTTCGAAATGAATTTCTTACATCATCTAGAGAACACCCCTCCTGAAGTTTAAGAAGTCTGTAACAGTCTTTGAGACTATTTTTAGGTTTATAACTTGACAACCATTTATGGTCAATGATATAGGGATTAGGAAATTGGTTTACTGTTTTGGGAATCATTGTGGAAAGTGTCCAGAGATGACATGGAATTTTTTTTGTCAACACGAAACAAAGCCACTTCATATTTCTTCAGATGCTTCTACATCCTAAACAAGGACCTGTTAAAAAACACTGAAAATAAAATAAAACTAATGTATGGAATTTTAAAAGCCATTATTGATTCTTAAAAAAATTCTGATATTAATCAGTTATTTTCCTTTACTTCAAAAGTGTATTAAAATTCAGATCAATTTTCACACAAGAAGATTTTTATTTAAAGGACAATTGTCAGTCATATGCTTTTCTAGAAGAGAGTAACAGCACATTAATACTATTTACACACAGAACAATCCTGCATATACAATACATGAAAATTCATTTGCAGCACAGCTCTCATAAAATTGCAAAAAAGCAATTTGGACTGTAAATATCATATAAGCTTTAGACAGGTACAACATTTTAGCAGGTTTCTTAAAAAACAGGTCCTTTCCACATTGCAGAGAACTGTAGAACTATGTTGGAGACTAGAGATGTAAAATCCTGTGTAAATTGTTAATCAGTTAAATTATAGATTTAACTGTTTATCTAGCCGGACCCCCTCGGCCAGAAGTACGGGGGGGAGGGAGGGACTGTACCAGCCCAGGTGGGCTAAAGCAGCCCTCTACAGGGTGCTCAGTTGGGCTCAAGCAGCTCCCCACCTACAGTGCCAGGCTGGGCATAGATTAACCAGTTAAAACTTTACATTGCTATTGGGGACATAACCGTAATAACGGAGCCCTGCCAATACAACTGCATTTTAGGCAGGCTTTAAATACATGAAGTACTAACCAGCTGAATTCTGTATCAACAGAAGATACATTAAAATAAATCTAGATAAAATAAATCTAGAACATTAACTTTTTAGTAATAAAAGAAAAGACCAATAATGTCTTAACTTTGATTCTGGTAAGAAAATTGGCTCTTGAAAGCAGTGGGATCCCAAAGCAATTCTTTTTTCAAACACTTACATAAAATAATTTTTCATACAAAAATCAATTATAGAAAGTATGAAGCAAACAAAAACTAGGAACTTAATACATCACTGAAACAACCAATTATTGTTAATGAAAATCATCAGCCTATGATTGCACAAAAATCATCCTCATTTTCATGGTCACCATCACCCACAAGTCTTGTGTGTGTCAACATGCATTTCAAGACACAAAACTGAACAAGTTGTATCAATAACTTGTATCAACAAGTTGTATTACTTAATTTTTCTGCAGCTTGCGGGCTATCTATTTGGAATAACCATTCTGAACAGAAGCAAGATTAGAAGCACTCACTCAGTGATGATTATCTGTCCTGAATACCTTGTAAGGTACAACTCCACACATACATACTTTCTTATGATAAACACAAATGCTGTTAATTCTTATAGCTTTCGTTATGCAGGAGGTTGGACTAGATGATCATTGATTCCTTGTTGCCTTAAAAATGAATGAAAATATGTTAGATAAGATCAACAGAGCATCTTTTAGATCTGAGTGCATTAGTCAGAGGGCAAAACCATTACAACTTTGCATAACTGTTTTTCCATATACTCAAAATAGTTAGTGTGTTGAAAGTTTTTATGTCTATTAGCCAGTTGGAGTTGCTGTGCTAGAAAAGCAGATCAGGTTCAAAATTAGACTTGCCTTATATTTATAATGACTGGGAAAAATTCAGATTCTAAGTATCACTTAAAAATACATGCTACACTACTCTTGAAAACTATTATTTACATCTTTAACCAATACTCCATTGCTGATTATTTTAAACAAAAGCTGCTGTGATTATGTATAATATTATATGCAGCTGTTTGTGATGCTTTATGCATAATATTTATGTAAGATCTGTTATGTATTTTGTAATATTGTGCATTACAAGAAGTATTTAACAAAAATGGCATCCTCATCATTATGGTGATTTTGGTCTTAATCCTGAAACATATGACAGAGGCATCTGTGAGAAAATATGATTGCTGTTTAATGAGTGTCCATTATATGAACATTTCCATCTGCAAACACTACATTCAAACACTGTAGCTGCACCAATGCAGCCATGCTGCTGAAGAGATTAAATAAAGATAGTTAATCCACCTATTCAAGAGGTGGTGGTTAAATCAAGAGGAAAAGCTTGCCTGTCAAAACAGAGTTGCCTACAAGTGTGATTAGTTTGGTATAACTGTTGCTTGCCAAATCTTCAGGATTGCCATGGAGTCTCCAGGAATTAAAGATTAATATTTAATTAAATATTATGTGATGTGATGAAGCCTTCAGGTATATGTCCAAGCAAAACTGTAACTCTACTGTATACAGACTGTGGTCTAGGCTTGGCTTCACTTTGCTCACAGCAAAAGGATTACTCTAGATCACTGATTCTCAAAGTGTGGTCCACAACCGTCTTGCAGGTGGTCCGCAGGCTTGGGGCTCACCCCCTCCTACACTGGGGAGCCTACACTGACACTCCAGCCACCCACCCCTAGTGAGGTTGGGGCACCAGCACCTACTGCAGGGATGGAGAGTGAGCCTCACAGGGTCAGAAAGCTGAGCTCCCTCTCTTAAACATTCGGATGAGGGAATGGCAGCACAGGAAACCACTTGCCTGGAGGCTTTCCGCTCTGCTCCCATTGGCCAAAATCATGGCCAACCGGAGCAGCAGGGGCAGGGGTGAACCTAGGAGTGAGGGGAAGCACCTGCACTCTCCATCCTAGACCCCTCTAACCTCAGTTCACTCCTGCACCCAACCTCCCAGCCAGACCCTGCACCTCCACTTGGACCCATTTTGTCATCATGGATAATTGGCTGGCGGTCCACAGAAGATCTGCATTGAGCAGGGTGGGCTGTGGTCCAAAAAGTTTGACAACCAGTGCTCTAGATCAAGGGTTCTCAAACTTCATTACACTGTAGAATAGTAATAGAAATGTAGCCGTGTTAGTCTGGTGTAGCTGAAGCAAAATGCAGGACTATGTAGCACTTTAAAGACTAACAAGATGGTTTATTAGATGATGAGCTTTCGTGGGCCAGACCCACTTCCTCAGATCAAATAGTGGAAGAAAATAGTCACAACCATATATACCAAAGGATACAATTAAAAAAAATGAACACATATGAAAAGGACAAATCACATTTCAGAACAGAAGGGGGATGGGGGGGGGGAGGGAAGGAAGGAAGGTAAGTGTCTGTGAATTAATGATATTAGAGGTGGGGAAAGTTAACTTCCTTCTCCCCCCTTATCCCCCTTCTGTTCTGAAATGTGATTTGTCCTTTTCATATGTGTTCATTTTTTTTAATTGTATCCTTTGGTATATATGGTTGTGACTATTTTCTTCCACTATTTGATCTGAGGAAGTGGGTCTGGCCCACGAAAGCTCATCACCTAATAAACCATCTTGTTAGTCTTTAAAGTGCTACATTGTCCTGCGTTTTGCTTCATTACACTGTGACCATCTTCGGATAACAAAAATGACTATACAACCCAGGAAGAGGGGACTGAAGCCTGAGCCCGTATGAGCCACGCCATCCTGGGTGGGGATAAGGGCTAGAGTGCCGTTACCTTGGGCAGGGGGTGTAAACCCAAAGGCTTCACCACCAGGCAGGGGGGCCTGTAACCTGAACCCTGATATTCAGCGCGAGGGCAACCTGGACTGCCCCAAGCTAACGCCCTTGGATTTGTGGCTCAGGCTTTGGGCCACCCTGGGCCAGCCCTGGCAATCCGCTCTGGCGCCCTGGCCTGCACTTAGAGAGCCGCTGCTCTGGGTTTGCGGGTTGCGGGATAACGGATTGTCTGGCAACGCTTTTCCTAATGCGCAACCCCCCCCCCCCCCAACAACAAGAACCGCCCGCGCGGCCACACAGCTC